TCCCCCTTTTATCTGTCATCATCACAGTGATTTTAGCAGCACTGTGACCCAGTTTTGCTACTCACATTGAATGTATACCCATGGGTACATTGACCAGGTCTGTATTTTTCAGCCCTTTCTCTAGATCTCTTAAGTGGAGCTTATATAGTGAAAGTTCACTCTCTTTTCTGTTAGTTGAGGTGTAAGAAGTGTCAGCACGACCTACCCATTCTTCCAGCTTACAACCACTTACCACACTCATTGGGGTGCTATTGGTGGTTCATTCAGAACACTGACAGAAGCAAAGAAGAGAGATGAAGAGAGTGAGTTGGTGCTACTAACAACATCTAGAACTTGATAATAGTTCTAGGTTCCTGAACTTTTGCTTCCTATCTGTAAACCATTGTAATGTTCTACTCAAGAATGTTAAATTTGTTTAATGTAATATGATTTGGTTTACTGTCACTAGCAATGGATGGTCTGTTATAATAATGCAATCTTTCTAATTCTTAGAGTTTAGTGTGGATTAAAGATAGTAGTGGTTATTAGAAGTGGGACTAAATTCAGTCAGTAACTTTTAGTGAGAACCTGATTATATTCTATTTCTATACATGACATCACTTCACTTCTTTTATGATTTCTAAATTCTTTTTGTGCTTGTTTTTATTTTACAGTTAGCCCCAAGAAATTAACTTGTAGAACAAGTAAACCCCACATTAATGGGCATTTTGAGACATACTCTAATAGATTCTATGGTTTTATGCATTATATTCATTTCTTCAAAATTTGCTAGGGTTGCTATGCTTTTAACAAACATACAATAAACACTCATATGTTCCAGGCACTTTACTTGATATTGACAAAGAGAGAAGTTAAAATACTCTGGTTTGACCACCTACACATTGATGTAGATTATAGACAATTAAGAAATAATACCCTTATATAGGCTTATAACTGGCATAAGGCGTTATACAGGCTTGGATAAGGAGCAGCTCACCCAATATGCATACCAAAGAAGGAAATTTATTAAATTGATTCCAAACAATTTAAAATATAAATGAAGGAAATATTTCCTCATCTGTTAGGTTCCTACAGTTAATACATGTTTCACAGTATTAAAACAAAAGTACTTTCATTTGAATTGTTGATGAAATACACTCAAAAACACATATACATTTCCCCCAACACACCTAAACGCCAAGCAAGCTGTGTTTAGGAGATGCTGCTACTATACATGTATTTGTGTGTGATTAATCTTGCAGTTTACTTCAGTTACAACTGATCACACCTGAGTTAATTAGAACCATGTTTGCTTTTTTCTAAATAAACATTTTTGCTGTTTTAGAATAATACATTGAAAATTCATTTAATCAAGTTAAGATAGTATGTACATGGTTGTTGTTGATTAAATCACATAGCTGATTGTGTGAAGAGGTAAAGGAGAGAGAGAAGGGGTAAGAAATGCAGTTATAGGCATATTGTAACCCCAAGCCATCTAGTATTTTGTTGCTGTTAAATTAAACCAATAATTTGAAATTTGATGAGACTGCTGAGTATGTACAGTACAAACTCATGTCAATATCTATTACTTCATTGCAATTCTTTATTCCCATTTTTCTCGGAAAATTGTCAAGTGAACTTGGCATTTACTGCAAGATATTCCCCATCATATTTGTTTGTCACATAACTTCCCAGGATCCAATTTCTAATCTGCTGAGTCTTCAAAGAGTGCACATTGGAATTCATTAGTGTGGGAACCAGAAGAAAAGGATCAGCTATGATGACCCTAATAACTGGCATGACATTTTAGGCACATCAGTGAATAATAACTAAGGTGACAATTGGTGAATAGAAAATCATCACGTTACAAATGTGGAGGATGCAAGTGTTGAGGACCTTGAGGCAGTTTTTATGACCAATTATATGACCAATATAACTTTCAAGATCAGCATGTAAGACACAGAAATGCACACCAACTCTAGCATAGCTGTTACAGCCACAAACAGGCCACAGTTAAAACTGACTCTGTTGTCAGAGCAAGCCAGCCTTATGATACCCTGGTGGAAGCAATAGAAGTGAAATTGAATGTTTTTCTTAAAGAATCCAAGCCTGTTTAGAATACAGGGAAGAGGCAAGACCAATAAGTTGCTTTGTAGAGCAAATACAAGGCCACTATTAATGACTCTGTCACTGGTCAGAATGGAGGTGTAGCTCCCGGAGTGTGAAAGGCTATAAAGTGATCCATGGACATAATAAGAAATGATGACTCCATACCTAAGAATCCATGAGTGAAAACTCTTGGGCAAAGCAGGCATCAGATGAAATTCCAGTAGTACTGAACAAGAAGATTCTCTGCATGGTTGGAAGTGAGAAGGTGGAATGTCCATGGTCAGACAAGGTCAACATGGACAGAAGTTAGTATATAGGCTCATGCAGAGAGGTCTCCGTTTTTATGAAAAAGAGGAAAGTGTAGTTCCTCAGTATGGCAATGAGGTATGTGAGGCCAATGTGGATGGAGACTGAAATGTGAGCACGTTCCATCCTTGGGATGCCAGTGAGGAATAAGGTAGAGATTTGCACTTCACAGGTGTTCAAGACTGACATTGCAGAAGTGTGATGGAATGAGGATGTGGGTCTCAGAAGGGCCTTCTGCAATGGCTTCAATACATTAACTCAGATGTGTATGCTTTAATCATCTGGCAAGAGAGGTAGTCTCTGGATATGAGAACCTAAAGGGAAGCAGTGGTTTGGAGATTTTTATAATCCTAAGGTTGTCTTATCTAGATCTAGCAGAAGTTGGGTGCAGTTTTGTGAGGTATGTAAATCAGGCAGTCTCTGTATGGTTAGAATTGTATCTATTTAAAACGATTGTGAAAGAATTTCAATTTGGTGTCAGTGAGCTTTAGCTGAAGGATCTACTTGTTGTGAAATATATACTGTGAAAATATACAGGTAAATACACAGGGACCATTTTTAACTCATTTATATGACACCAGGAAATGAAATATCACTTAGCCATAAAAAGGACTCAAGTACTGATACACGCTACATCAGTATGCTAAAAGAAACCAGCCACAAAATGCCACATATTTTAATAATTCATTCATATGCAAATCCAAAACAGGGAAATCTATTGAGTCAGAAAGTATATCATTGGTGCCTTAAAATGAGGTGAAGGATATAGGGAAAGAAGTGATAGTTAAAGAGTATGAGATTTCTTTTTGAGATGATAAACATTGATTGACAGTTACACATATCTGTTAATATATTTAAAAACACTGATGTATTTTAAATGGGTGATATATGGTATGTGAATTACATCCCAGAAAGGTGTTAGTATTTAAAAGATATAAAACAGTACATAGAAAGCTAAGACCTTAACAAATACATGCATTTTTAAGTAAAGAAAAGGAGAAACATATACCATGATAACATGAATCAAAAGAAAGCTAGACAATCTGTACTGAATTCAGAAAAGACAGTTTATTTTTGTTCTTCATATTTTTAAAAGTATATTTTACTGATTATATTATAATAGTTGTCCCATTTTTCCCCTTCTTTATTCCTCTCTGCCCTGCATCCCCCTCCCACCAGCAATCCCAGTGCTAATTCCCTGGTAGGAGGTTTCGTGTACATTCTAGGACCCTGTGGGTTTCTTTAGCAAACTCTCCTGTGAGGCTGGGAGGTTCTCCTGCTGCTGCAACCCCATGATTTTGCAGCCAGAGGTTTGAGGCTTTCTTTCCCCATGCTGGAACCCTGGGTTGCATGGTCAGCCTTGCTCCCCAGTTGTTCTTCTCAGTTTATCCATAGGCAAAAGTGGGACCACCTGGTCCACCAGCCACCACTTCACCCACCCAATCCTCCAGCTGCACCCTTGCCCCACATCCTCTCTGCACCAGCTGCCTGTCACTGCCCATCCTACCACTCTGAATGAATGTTTCTCCTCTAACTCCTTGGCTGTCAGACTCCTATACAGCTTGATTTTCTGGCAGTTCTGGTTATTTTTTGTTTTTAAATTTATTGTACTTCTTTTGGTTGTGTGAGGAGGCAGTTTATCTATCTACACCTCCATCATGGCCAGAAGTCCAAAAAGACTAGTTTAATATGAAAGAAATTTTCAAGGATAAACAACATTATATTTTGATGAAGGGATTACCCAGAAAGACATAACAAATATTAGTATCTACATACCTAGCAAGTAGCATCAAAATACCTGGGGAAAAGCTGATAGCATAACCAAGAAAAAGTAGACAAATGTGTTATGATATTTGGAGCCTTTAACATCTCTCTTCAGTAACTAACAGATTAAAACAGGTGAAATGTGGGTCTCAGAAGTGTCTACCTACTCAGAATATAAAAGCCTCCATAAGTTTCTAAGCACAAAAGCATCATGGGTTTGGAGCATATGAGACCCACTCTAATCATTTTCATTACTTGGGCCAAGTTGTCTTCCTTATGCTTTTGAGAGCATGCTGAACTTTATCCACTTGTCATGGACCTTCTCTCTTAAAGAAGTCTTTCTTCCTGGAATCATTATCCTCTCCTGAACAGAAAAAAAATTTAAATGCATTAAAAATATATTCATACTATGGTCTATTTTGTGGGGAAATATTATTGCTCTCGACTATAGAACCTATATGAGACCCGGTGTCATAACCTAAATCTTCTTTAGAAACTGAGGGCCTTAACAGGGTGTAAGGAAAAATTTCACTAGATTCTTGATTTGGTGAATTTTACTTTCACAAACATTTATTGCTGATTATTAAAAGATTTCTAAGAATGGCCTAACCTGGGTTTAAAGACCATATTCTTTAGTATGTCAACATGAATATAAAACAAAATCATGCCTCTATTCTCTATACCAAACAGATAAGATTTACTGTTATTGAGGTGTGCATCTAGTTTCTTAAAGTCAAAATAGTATCAGTAACATATATATTCAAAATTCTACGGTAGTATGAAGTGCTCTAATAAAGATAAGGAGGAGGGGAAAGAAAGTTGTATTTTAGAACCTCTTTTCTCTAAACTTTCTGTTGTTTGAATTTCTTGAGAATTCTGTCTCGAATCTGCTTGGTTTTGACACTGTAGACAATGGGGTTCATGAGGGGTGGAACCAGCAAGTAGACGTTGGCCATGAGCACATGGACAATTGAGGAAGCATTCTGCCCATAACGACGGATCATAGATAGCCCAATCATTGGTGTGTAGAAGGTAAGGACAGCACAGATGTGGGAGATACAGGTATTGAGAGCTCTCACCCTCTCTGTTTTGGAGGCTATACTCAACACTGTGCCAAGGATGAGGATATAGGAGAGGAGGAGGAGCACTGAATCGAGTCCCATGGAGCAAATGACCACTATGAGGCCATAGATGCTGCTGACTCGACGGCTGGACACAGTTGTCTTTATGAGGTCCTGGTGCAGGCAGAAAGGGTAGGAGAGAATATTGACAGGCCGATATTGAAGCCTCTTAAGGAGGAAGGAAGCTGGAAAGACCAGAGCCAAAGCCCTTCCTACAATTGCCAATCCAATGCCACTGATGACACCATTGGTTAGAATGGCTGCATAGCGCAAGGGCTCTCGGATGGCCACCAGGCGGTCAAAGGCCATGGCTAACAGCACAGCTGACTCAATAATGGAGAAAACATGAATGAAGTACATCTGGACCAGACAAGTGTTGAAGGAGATCTCCCGTGCATGGAACCAGAAGACACTGAACATTGTAGGCAAGGTTGTAGTGGACAGGCCCAGGTCAGTAAGTGCCAACATTGACAGAAAGTAGTACATTGGTTGGTGGAGGGAAGGCTCAGTTCTGATGATGAAGAGGATAGTAATGTTCCCTGCAACTGAGGTGGCATAAACAAAGAAGATGGGGAGGGAAATCAAGCCATATCTGCTTTCAAGGCCTGAGAAGCCTGTCAGAAGGAAGCGCGGGTCCATAGCAGAGCTATTGAAGACAGACATTGTGGGAACGGAGACACCTTCAGTCTGGGTGGGGAGACCAGAAAGTAAAACAGTTAGGGTAAAAGTCAATATCGCAAACAGAAGCTCTGATGCACACTGCTCTGGTTTCTGATTCAATCACTCTTCTGCTTGTTATATATAATTTACTACCTACATTTATTATTTTACCAATTAATTCACTATTTCCTCATTGCATATTTACTCAGAACAAATTTTATAAAAGAAAATTGGGTAGTGTCAAAATATAGAGTAATATATAAAACACATCTTCAAATAAACACAGTCTAGTGGATAGAAAGAGCTCAAATTAAAGCAGAGTGTTAGTCGGAAACACAGAAAGAGGATTTATTAAAGGTAATTCTTGAATTAGTTTCTCAAATGACAAGTATGAGTTACGTGGGAACAAAGGGCCGTGTTAGATATTCTATGCTGATTGGTACCCATGTAAAGCAGGAAGCTGTTGCATTACAAGTGTAAATCATTATAATTGAGCAAAGTTGCTGGTAGCATGGCTTTTCAGATGGTAATTGGAGTTAAGATAGAAACTCCATCTTAATTGAGCATAAATACATAGGATTTGTACTTAATGTTAGAAGATACAAGATGTCACTTTTTTAAGTTAATGATTTGACCAAATGTATATTGTATCAGTGTCAAACTAGAACACATGTTAAGATTGGTTTAAATATTGACAAATGAGAAGGCAAGGAAGTCCTTTAAAAGGCTACTGTAGTCATAAAAAAGTGAATAAAAGTGACATGTAACAGTAATGAGGATAAAGAGTGAAGAGATATAAAAGTTTATAGGTAGAACTAAAGAAATATTGCTTGATGATCATACATTAAGAATAAACAAAAGGAAGAAACCCAGGACACGTGAAGTTACTTGGTGGATTTTGGTGTCATTCACTGAAACAAACAAAAATTTAAAAGTTGGAAAGACTAGGGGTTAAGATTGATTCAGTTTGGTTACAATAAATTTGAGGTGTGTGTGTCAAGAAGATGAAATAGTGGTATTTTTGCTTCCCTAAAGACTTGTCGAAAGGGAAATTACTGCTACTTGGTGAACTGGAAAAGATGTCTAATCGAGCACAAAGAGAAAGAAAAAATCCTTAGAAATAAAATAAAATTAAAATCAGTGGAAAGAACGCATGGCATGTGAGGAGAAGGGTCTAACAGGCACCAAGAGGACAAAATGTGCTGCAGGGAACGTAAGAGGCAGAGGTTACTGAGGACTGGAGAAGACCAGGCATTATAATAGGAATCCTAGAGACTCCAATTACTTAGCAACATGATGGTGACCCAATTCCAGCTACTCGAGGCACAAAACATCAATGAAACTTTTTTTCACTGAGTATCAAAGTTTTTATTTCAAAGTTCATCTGTTCCCTAATCTATCCTGCTCCACTGATACACTTCCATTTAGTGATTTCCTCTGACAGACTTAAAGTAATTCCCTCCCACGTCAAGGAGTCACAGGATCCTTTTCACTTGGATGCCACTTTCTTCTCTCTCTAGGAACAGATACAATAAAGATAGGAAGTTCCTTACATATTATCCTGTGATTTGTATACTGTAGTAATTGTAGCATATTAGTCAATACTGGTCTTTATACATCTCCCTTACTATCCTAGCTTTTTATATATCAAACTTTCCCTTGCCTCTTTAGCATCACTGAACAAGAATTGTCATCACTGTGGCACTTGCACACAGTTTCATTCTCCTCCCTTAATGCCCTCCCTCAAATCTATCAATGTCTTCAGCACTCCATCCTGCCCAGGTATGCCAGTCTTCCCTCTTAGATCTCTTTTACTGACTCCTTTGTAAAAAAAATTCTCTGACTTAGGATATTCATCATTCATCTCCCCTAAACAGGTCTGTTGGATACAGACACGAGCACCCTGATCTCAGTGACAACTCCTCCAGAGTCAAAGAAAACCTGAGGACAACTGCCTTCACTACTTCTATAACAGATAGCCATGTGCGAGAAACCGGAGACTTCAGAGCATGTGTCCACCATTTATAGTATCTATACCTGGAGATGAATTATAATGGCTTTGGAGCAGCTTTCGAGGATGATAGTCTGGCTTCTTTGGGGGAATGACAATCTGTATCTCTCATCCCCAAAGCAGTAATTACACTTGGTCAGCTTTCTACTTTCTGGACTTTTCAAATAGGTACTAATCTTTTTCCATGCTTGTCACCTCAGAAACATTCCTTCATGCATACCTGAGTTCTCAGGTGTAGACAGTCACTCCCCCTGCTGCAGGTTGTTCAGAGCTAGGGGCTTCTTGTAAGAAGAGAGAGCCACCAATGATGGGCATAAGAGATTTTATATGCATGTGTGTGTGTGTGTGTGTGTGTGTATATATATATATATATATATATATATATATATATATATATAGTGGGTGCTAAAGTAGATAGTTCTTCAAGGGAGCATAGCTTTCCTGAGGGAAGCTTCCATTTGTTTTGCAGCAACTCCAGAGCCAAGATGGCATATTTTGGGGTTCAGCATCCTTCACTCTATCCAGCAGTGTGCTTCATTAGCACTACACCCTGTGCTTTAACTGCTCTGAACCCAGTGATTCTCCCCAGATTAGTCTGTTCTCTCAGGATCTTTGTTTCCTTAATGCAACCTCCAGAGAGAAAAAATGATGCCACTGCCATTGGAGTTTTTTGTCTTGCTCAGGGGAAGGAGATGATTATGCCAAATTCTCAAACTGGGAGTTCAGATATCCAGCAACTAGGAAATACCCCTGAATTTATCTGATGGAGAACATGGGCTGGTTTATTTAGTCAGAATAATGTGCAAGGAAAATTCTGTGCTCTGAATAATCGGACACATAGAACAAGCTCTAACTTCTCAAAATGTTCATTCTTTAGCCTGCCTGTATCAAATGTTCCTAAAATGTACAATAGGCCACTGTTCAAATAGAATTAATGGCCAAACATACCAGGTAAGCCTTGGTCAATTTCATTTGGGACAAACTGCATATTGTAATTCCATTGTGTGTAAACATTAATATCGCATGCTAATGTTTCAGACCTTTCCAGACATATGGCATCCAGAGAACATTTATTAATTGTTGAAATTTGTGTTGAGCAGATCTTCATGTGGGAAACAGGAGTTGAGAGAATCCTTAATGTAAGGCAGTGATTCTCAACAAGAAAAAAAATTTTCCCTAAAGGGATATTTGACCATGTCTGGAGATATTTTCTGTTGTCACAACTGGGGCAATGTTAAGGGCATCTGGTCTGTAGATAGCAGGGATGCTCCTAAACATCGTACAAGGAGGGATAAAGTTCCCACAACAAAGAATTGTCCAGTCCAAATGGTAAAAGTGCCAATGTAGAGAAACTTTGTTTTAAACTGGGGGGAGGGGACAGGAAGTAATGGGGCTGGGGGGGTGAGGGAACAAAACTAAATGTACAGTATGCAATAATATCTCAATAAAGCTGTTATTTAGTAAAATTTAACTGCATTCTAAAATACTTAACCTATACATTTCTCTTACATAAGAAACGTATAATGTGGAAATGGCTTTTTATTAAGGAAACATTTGATATGTCCTCACTTTAACTGAGGTGCAGAATAAACTAGTCTGACTGCTGCCTAGGCAAATTTGAGGGTAACTGAGATGGCTGGGCAGCCATGCAAGGTCAAAGGCACGTGACTTTAGGTATCAGATGGGGAATGTAATAGAGGAATGTTAACCTGCCGTTGTTTAAAAAGAGAGCCCATTAAACAATGGGGACATGAGTGGAGGAATGAAGATCACCTGGCTAAAGGAGAGGCACAGCTCATCAACAGGGGACCAGTGGGAAGATCCAGAAGCAGAGTCTATGGAGATTGCAAAGGTGTCCTGAGGAGAGAGAGGGAGCCTTAAACTTCCATAAAACTTGGAAAGCCTGAAGCCATCTTTTCATAAGACTAGTCAAATAAAGAGTTTCTGCGCCTTCATTGCCTCTTGCTCTGCTCCAGCATTCCAACTTCTAAGAGTCTTGTCGAATGGAGAAAAGGCAAGGCAGTAAAGACAGGTTATAGAGACAAACATACCTCCTTCCATACTGGGGAATCTGCTATCTGAAACTGATCTTAGCTCGGGGAGGGGAGAACTATTACTTCTGACTGAACTTGAAACAGTTGACAGGAAATTTTTGTCTTTTAAAAAATTTTATTTATCTTTAGAGGGGAAGGGAAAGAGAGAGGGAGAGAAATATCAATGGATGGTTGCCTCTCATGTGTCTCCTGATGGGAACTGGCCTGAAACCCAGGCATGTGCCCGGACTGGGAATCGAGCTGTGATCCTCTGATTCACAGGCCCACACTCAATCCACTGAGCTACACCAGCCAGGGAGATATATATATATATATTTTAAGTTAAAGTGACCTTAAGGAATTCTGTTACCTAAGAATTATTTGAAATCTCACCTCGCCTACCCTGCTTTCCATCAGAGCCAGGAAAGAACAACATACATTAAAAAAGTTAAAAAGTGACAAAAGAAAAAAAACTTGCCTTTTTTCTTTGCTTTCAATTTTTTCCATTTTTTAATCAATTGTATTAATCAAGTTAATAATATTATACATGTCTCAAGTATACATCTCTATAAGACATCCTCTGTATAGCATGCTGTGGTTACCACCCCAGGTCAAATCTCCTTGTTGTTATTGTTGTTGTTTAATTAAATTAAAGTCTTTTATTCCTGCTTATTTTATTGTCATCTTGCAGCAGAGTATCTAGGTGACAGCAGCAAAGAGACACCTATTTTTAGCTGTCTAAATCTAAGATTTTATGAATTAACTAGATAAAAGGGATTTGAAAGTTATAGCAGAACCAGAGTTAAAATTTATATCAAAATGATTGCATTTATTGTTTGGGATGCTAAACATAATGATTTCCACAATTATTCTCAAGGGGGCCTTAAAATCCACACTCAGATTGTAGCATAGCCCTTAGGATATGATAAAGACATGACATTTCATATACTCCTCTCCAAAAA